CAGAGACAGAAAGACCAGAGAGAGAGAGAGAGAGAGAAGAGTAGACAGATAGATAGAGAAGAGAGAGAGAATGAGAAGGAATTAAAACTGTTTGGAAAAAGCTTTTAAACTTTTTAACTGTTTTGGCTTTCTGGGATGTTTTGGTTAAAATTAAAAGTGCAAATGGCGGGAAAGCACACACAGTTATTTGTAATATGCATGTGCTCGTATCTATATATATATATATATATATTATATATATATATATAATATATTATTATATATATATATATATATATTAATACTATATATGTGTGTGTGTGTGTGTGTGTGTGTGTGTGTGTGTGTGTGTGTGTGTGTGTGGATGTGTGTGTTTGTGTTTGTGTTTTGTGTGTCTGTATGTGTTTAGACAGAGAAACGGATAGAGAGAGAGAGAGAGGAGAGAGAGAGAGAGAGAGAGAGAGAGAGAGAAGAGAGAGAGAGAGATAGAGAGAGAGAAGAGAGAGAGAGAGAGGGGGGGGAGGGACGGAAGAGAGGGGAGGGAGAGAGAGAGAGAGAGAGAGAGAAGAGAGAGTAGAGAAGAGAGAGAGAGAGAGAGAGAGTTGAGAGAGAGAGAGAGAGAGAGATAAGAGAGAGAGGGGCAGAGAGAGAGAGCAGAGACGAGAGAGAGAGAGAGGAGAGGGAGAGAGAGAGAAAAGGAGAGAGAGAGAGGGAGAGAGCAAGAGAAAGNTAATATATATATGTTATATATATATATATATATTATATATATATATATATATATATATATATATATATAATATATAATATATATATATATATATACTCTCGCTATGGTCTCAGATATCTTAATATTTTGTCTATATATACTTTTGATTTCTTTGTCACTTTATTTAGATCCACTAATTTCCGAAATGAAAAAAATAAATGCCTTTATCAACATCGCTGACTTTATTTGTCGTTTTTATCTAACGTGATTTTCCCCCTTCTTATTAGTTTTCATCTATATACTTTAAAATAAAAAATAAATTCCAACTTTATTTCTCACTTTTCCCTAGCTTTCTTTTCCTCCCTTTTTCGTTATTTTTTTACATACTTTTATATTTTTTATCTTTCATTTTCTATTTTGTTTCCCATAACATCGAAAACTTTTTCTCTAGCTTTCTTTTCCTCCTTTTTTTCGTTAATCTTTTATATTTATTTTTTTATTTTCATATCTTTCATTTTTTTTTTTTCGAACTTCCCATAATTTCGAAAAAAAAAAAAATGGACGTGACTCTTTCTCCAATTCCCCCTCCCTCCCCTCCGTGATCGTTAACATCGAACCGCCATTAAGTCCACATTATTTTCAAAAATCAAAGTTCAACTTGTCAATGATTGATTAAGATGCGAATGTATTTCCACTGTACAGCTTAATGATTATCACGAAAACTTGGTCGAACTTATAAAACGCTGAGAGAAGATTTATTGTGAATGTTTGAGCGAGGATATTGAGGAGGGAGAGGAGGAGGAGGAGAAGGAGAAGAAAGAGAAGAAGAAGAAGAAGAAGAAGGTGCAGGAAGAGGAGAATGAATAGTAGACGGAGGAGGGAGAGGAGGAGGAGAAGAAAGAGAAGAAGAAGGAGCAGGAGCAGGAGGAAGAGAGATAGGAGAAGGAGGAGGAGGAAGCACAAGAGGAGAGAGGAGAAGAAGAAGAAGAAGACGAAGAAAGAAGAAGAGAAGAAGAAGAAGAAAGAAGAAGAAGAAGAAAGAAGAAGAAGAAGAAGGAGGAGGAGGGAGGAGGAGGAGGAGGAGGAGGAGGAGAGGAGGAAGAAAGAGGGAGAAGAGAAGGGAGAAAGAAGGAAGAAAATGATGAGGAGGGAAAGAGATGAAGGAAAAGAAGGAAGAGGAGAACGAGGGTAAGAAGGGAAAAGGAAGAGGGGGGAACAAAAAAGGAAAAGGGAGGAGAAGGAGTGAGAAGGAGAAAGTAAGAAAGGAGGAGGGAGGAGGAAGAGGAAGCAAGGAGAAGAAGAGGAGGAGGAAGAGGGAGGAGGAGAAAGAAGGAAGATTGAGGAGGAAGAGAATAAAGGAGAGAGGAGGAGGAGGAGGAAGAGAATAAGGAGAAGAAGAAGGGAAGAGAAGAAAAGGAAGAAAGAGAGAGGAAGGGATGGGTAATGGGGTGGGAGTGTATGTGGGAGAGGAGGGGATGTTTGTACCTTAGGTTAGGGGGAAAAGGGGGAGGGAGAGGAGAGGGTGTGAAGAGGAGAGAGACATATTGGGGTAGTGTGTGTGGGGGAAGGGGGGGGGAGGGAGGGGTTTGAGAGGCAGAGAGGACTGTTGAGCAATATTGGGGGAGAAGGGGGGGGGGGGGTAGGTTAATGAGTAGAGGTTAGGGGAGAGAACTGTTGGGGTGGGAAGCGGGGTGGTCTTTATCGGGATGGGGTGTATTGGGGTCTAACATAAGGAATGAGGAGTGGATAGGCATGTGGCGGGTTAGCGATGGGAAGGGGCGGGGGGGATGGTGGTGTAGGGGTAGGTGGAATATGGAAGAAGTTTATGTTATTTATGTTTATGCATGTTTTTACAAGTGTGTATTGTATTTACGTTGTTGTTTGTTGTTGTTATTATCAATATATTTTTTCTACATTTTATCCGTTTTTTTTTTTTTCTTTCTTTTCTTATACAGATCCCATCGCAGGAATGACGCTACAACTGNTCTCTCTCTCTCTCTCTCTCTCTCTCTCTCAGCACCCCCTGACAAGCAGCCAAGGGGAAGCCGCCCAGCACTCGCCAACTCGACGGCAGCTCCCGCCGCCCGTGCCCGCCCAAGCACCGTGTGAAGCTGCCAGTTGATCCCTCTTCTCCAGGCAAGTTGCCACTGCTACTGTCAACAAGTAGCAACTTGACTTCACTTCCGTGCCAACACTTGCATGTGTAGTCTGCTTGCCTTCCAAGCTCCGAAGGAAAAACGGAGAGGAAGTGCAGACAGACAGTGGGTAAGCGATAAGGCGAAGCAGATGTAATAGAGTGAAGAGGCGAGGGGATGAAAGAGAAGACCGAGAGAGCAACAGACAAAAACTGAGTGTCCGCGGAGAGAAGCAAAGGCAACCGATAAAGGGGACGGGATGCAAACGGAAAAGTAAAGGACGTGGGAATAGGATGCACAAGATATGATAAAGACGAAAGCACTAGAGGAGTAAGAGAAGAAATGAGGGAAGAGAGAGGAGAAGAGAAAAGGAAGAGAGAAGGGGAGAAACCAGAGTGGGAGCCACAAGGTGTAGTGGTGACGGAGGCAGGCAGGCAGACGCTGCTGGGTCGGGCGCCTCAAGGTCATGGGAAGGTCTTTATGTTGTCTGAAACTCCAGCAACTCCCTCGCCCTATCCTCACCCGGCAGTACTTCTCTGGGCCGCCTTCGCCTTTGTAGTACTTCCCTCACCCGTTCCTCGTCCCCCCTTTCACCCCCACACCTTCCCCAACAGCTGTGCATCCGGGTACTCCAGTCCTGCAGTAGCGAGTCCAATCTTCAAACGAGACACATTCCACAAAGCCCTTCTTTTCCTACTATGCACCATCTTCCACACACACCCACACGTACCCTCCTCACTAACATCACGACTTCGCTACCTCTTCACAATGAGCAAACCTTTTGAACTGAGCATGACAAATACGGGCTCAGGAAATAACTACCACGGTTATATCCCCTGATTGATACAAAACAACCAATAATCCCCCAATAAGACAATCACCAAATTCCCTTGGTAATCACGAAACAACCCATTAGCGTAAGCGGTCTTTACTATCCCTTACTATAATATAATTCAATACTGTATATTCAGGTTAGAATAGGATGAAAAGCTTTGTCTTTGACCTTAATCAGATATCGCTACCCGAATTGAATAGATGGAGAGACAAGAAAAGGACAGAGGGAGAGGGAGAGAGGGAGAGAGAGAGGGAGAGAGGGAGAGAGAGAGAGAGAGAGAGANTGAGAACGGAGAATAGCCAGAGAGAACGGAAATAGCCAGTCACCGCGAGAACGGAATAGGCCCAGAGAGAACGCGAAAAATAGCCCAGAGCCGAGAACAGGAAACCAATTACGACCAGAGAGAACGGAGAAAAAATAGCCCAGATGGAGAACGGAATAGCCAGAGAGAGAACGGAGAGAATATAGCCAGAAGAGAACGGAATAGCCCAGAAGAGAACGAATAGCCAGAGAGAAAGTAATTAGACACAGAGAGAGAGAGACGGAGAAGGAGAGAGTAGGGAAGAAAAAGGAGAGGAAGAAAGAGAGAGTAGAGAGAGAAGAAGAAAAGAGAAGGAAGAGGAGAGTAGAGAAGAAAAGGAGAGAGCAAGAAAGAGAGAAGAGAGAGAAAGAAAGAGAGAAGAAGTAAGAGAGAAGTAAGAGAGGCAGGGAGCCAAACCTGGATGAGACTCCCACTGACAGTAAATTAGATGTATGAACATAGGCCATCAATTTTTAAGACGATACGCTCAATTGAGTATCCTCGGATCAAACTTTAAACTTGAGAAGCACTCTTTTGAGTATATTAGGAGTTGATATTAATGTTTCTGATTCTATTGAGACCTCAGCCATCTCTGTACTCCAGCTAGTGGCTAGATGATATTGTGTAATTGAGATTTTACTTTTGTTTTGATGGAATTGCATATTTGTGATACATTTCTTATAATAGTATTCTGGGCTTGAATTTCATGTATCTGCTTGTATTCCAGCAGTGTTTTTCATTATCTAATGGTTAATTCCTCTAGGTTTTGCTATTTATAAGAAACTAATTTTTTCTATTATTTGCTAAATTTTGCATGTTTCAGCCATGGAACTGGCATCAACTAAAGTTCTCTGGGTGGACATTACAGTAAAAGTATAGGGGTTGGGTTATACTTTTGTTACATGGTTTAGTTCAGCAAACATTTTAATGGGACCTTAAATTTTATGTACAAGCTACAGCTAGCCTACCCTGGAGCTCTTCAAAAATACTTTTAATCAAGTTAACCCAGAAAATGTGATTTTTATATTTTTTTTAGTAAATGATCAACTCCATTCTGGTTACAGTGTCCCATCTTCTGCCTGGCCTGGACACCTGAGGGTCGTCGTCTAGTGACAGGTGCCTCCTCGGGGGAGTTTACCCTTTGGAATGGCCTCACCTTCAACTTCGAAACCATCCTGCAGGTTAGAGATAGTCATTGTGATGATGATACTAGTTTTATGATTAATGACATGTTTTGATGCTGCTACTATTATTGTTTTTGTTCATGTTATTATTGTTATTATTTTAGGTATTGTTATTGTTACTGTTTATTACTATTATTCCTGCTATTATTACTACTTGTTGTTATTATATACTTTTTTTATTATTGTTTTTTATGCCATATACTGTTAATATTTCACTTCAATGGCTTTTATGTTTCCTTAGTAGAGTCCTTTACAATTGCAGTATTGTTTATGATTTTCTCTGATTCTTATATGGATTTAAAAGTAAGTAATGGTAAAGTAGTTGTAGTTGTAGCAGCAGCAGCATTTGCAGTAGTAGTTGTAGCAGTCACCTAAAGTGGCTTTCCTTCATTATTATTGATGTCCATGTGGATTATTATCATGATGGAGTAAAGCCTTCTTGATATAAGGGCATGGTAGCAGTTTGAAAAGTATATCAAATTATTAGTCTCAGATAATGATAAAAATGCAGGACTTGATATATAAAAAAAGTTATAATCCTTTGAATGTAACCAGTCATTAATGATAATAGACCAGTACTTAATGAGAGATTCACAAGAGAATTGCTTGTGCAAGGCAGTAGATAGAAAGTGAATTAGATGTGGTGTGACTGCAGTTTTTAATGAAACAAATAAATAGTGAGCATAAAGGATGTATAAATAAAAGCATAGAAAATGTTTTGGTTAGTCCTTTTCATACAAATGGCTTGGGGTGATGAGATACCAAGGCAGCCTGAATCAGCCTGTTCTCTTGGCATGGTAGGTTGACTTTAGGGACCAATGTATGATTATCTTTAGGGTGTTGGTGTTTTATTTCTTCTAAAACTGTTCTGTGGGTCAAAAGTGCTGTTAATTTTTATTTTTAGTTTTAGTTTCATTGCTTGTTTTTTTACCTGATATAACACTTCCCTGAAACTCTTACTGATCTCATATTCAGGAGGTCATATAAGATAAATCTGTAGAGGAACATGCATATTATGCCATGTAAGGGTGTGGTAGGGTGACCAGATCCTTTCGAGACTAACTTAGAGCCAAGCATTCTAGTACTCTGTCACAGCTAAGTTGGCTGAGTGTATAGATTTTGGGAAAGGAAATACAAGACCACACTATAGATGACTTGGTGTATAGAAAGTATTGTTAAAATGGAAAAGTAATTTTTCCCCAGAAGACAATTTAAAAATCTACTTTTTTTAAAACTATAACTTGTTCCTTCCCCAGGCCCATGACAGCAGTGTGCGGACGATGGTGTGGTCGCATAACGACCAGTGGATGGTGACAGGCGACACAGGAGGTTTTGTTAAGTACTGGCAGACCAACATGAACAATGTGAAGCTCTTCCAGGCCCACAAGGATCCAGTTCGCGGCCTCAGGTACTCCCAGTTGATCATATCCTTGTGTCAACGTCCCGATCCTAGACCAGTCCTGTTTACAACCTTTGCATTAATGGGTCACTCTTCTGCTGTTGGGACGTTCTCTGTTCAAAGTGTGGGCTCCTCTTCCTCGTCCACTCTCTTCACCTCATGTTCCTCCTCTTCCCCCATTCTCTCCTCCTCCTCCTCCTTCCTTGTAGAACCTTTTCCTGATTGTGCTTTAATGGCACTAGTTATCCTAATTGCTGTTCTCAAAGTCACAGAACTAGCAAAATATTTGCATATTGATAGAGCAAATCACATTACCTGTTTCCTCTATCTCTCCTCCTCTTCCTCCTCCTCTCCTCCTCCTCCTCCTCCTCCTCCTCCTCCTCCTCCTCCTCCTCCTCCTCCTCCTCCTCTTCCTCTTCTTCCTCTTCCTCTTCCTCTTCCTCTTCCTCTTCCTCATTATTCTGTGTAGGACATTGTCAAGTAATCTCAGTCCATCTCCCTGGGTGTAATCTGTATGGGCTTTTGTTCCCCTTCCTAGTCAGAAGTTATATTTATTGCTCACTCATTTACTGTTTAGGATGTCGCAGTAGGTGTATTAGAAGTCTAGGAATCCTTTGCTATCATTTAAACCACAGTTTAGAGCTTTCATCCAATCAGTATTCTCTCCACTCCTGATAGTTTTTTCTTTAGTATGAAATTCTATCTTGGTTGATTGCATAACATTTTTTATATTATTTTTTGTCAAATTTGTGTAGGTTAGATTTTGGGATTTAAGGAGGAGAGGGTGTAGAGAAAACATTTTCATATACATTTTCCATATCATTAGAGAGAAGATTCAATAGGAATCATCAAGAATGGGATTTTTGTACTCATTTCTCTCTAGATCTTTAAAAAGCTCATTTCATTTGGTAGACATATTTTGTTTACTATTAACCAAAGTTCTTCAATACTATTGATTAGTTCCCATTACACTTTCATCGCAGTCCACTAATTAGAATAAAGCTCTACCTGTTTTCCTTACTCACTCACATAATCTGTCAGGTGTTGATATGACTCTGGCCAGGGGTATCTGGAACAAGTTAAGCAAGATCAGGAATTACAACTAATGTCAAGGACTGTAGTTTGCACTTAGTTGTTTGGCTGTCTTGTATTAAGATTGAATAAAGAAATTCCTTTGTCCTTCTGGTGTAAAACAAATTTTAGTTTTAATTTTTTTTTGCTGAGTTATACAATACCCAAGGACCAAATAAAGAGCAACCTAGTTTCCCTCGGTGACTTGCCATAGCATATATATATATGTATATATATATATATATATCACACTGTTGTTGGAATGTTAGTGAATGGAACGGCATCAACAAATTTCATACGATTCCACTGTTTTGTAGCAACATAAGGTGATGAAGTCTTTTGTGTGAAGTACTTATATATTGTAATCATGTTATGTGCAATAAAAGCCAGTACACTTGCCCCCACCTGCAAGAATATGAATATAAGTAAACACTGATTATCTGAAGCAGTTCTGTAGAAGGCAGAGGGCCTCTCATTAGTCCAGGAAGTGTCTTATCTCTGTATATCATCTCCGGCATAAACCAATAAAGTTCACCCATCCTTACTTATCCATCGTGCGAACAACCCTTTTACCGACTGTGATCAATTTTGTGATTACTGTTTTATTTTTGTACTTTGTAAATTACCTGTAAATACATTGACTTCTCAATAAAATAGGTGAAAATACATTATAGGCCTACCTGGGTTGTGGCAGTTGGACACCTGTCTAGTTGTCACCTCAGAGGCCTGTTTTATTCACCTATGATCCATTAGTATTGCTAAATTATGATAATAGATCATGAACAGAAAAAAGAAATATACGATTTAAAAAAGTGAGAATAAAACAAACCCCAAGAGAAGATGGATATTATCGCAAGAAGTCTTGTAATGTCGCAGTAACTGAAGAATTTTGCTTGGATACACAGGAAACGCTAGATGTAATTCCATTTGCGAAGCTCATCGGAGCCATGCGTCATGATAGTGATAGTTACAATTAGAAGGAAGACCATCGACAGTTATGAAACAATCCAACTACATATCTTTTACTCATCAATTTCTGAGTGAAATTATATTGGCATAATTTTAAGATGGCACAACTTTGTTCCTAGGGTGCAGCAATTGAAAACTGAATTGGCATGCCAAGATGAAATTTTAGATTTTTTGATACGGCTATATCAGAATGCAGGGTATGGTAGTTCGATTTTGTTTATTTACTTGTTTATTTTTGGGATACATGTTCTTCTGTAAGAGATGAAGTCAGATATTTAATTTCCATTTTGTGCTATTAATGATAGCATTGAATATCCAAATCACTTGTATTTTTGTGACAGGTGTAATAATGTTCAGAGTCACTTTGATTTAACAAAAAAGTAATTTTAGTATTGAATTTTTTTAATATTTTAATAATGTTATGTGTTCATATGTATTTTAACTAAAGAACTGAAAGCAAGTTTAAACAAGCAAAAAATAAACAATATATAAATAGATTAAAAGTAAATGTACAAATCCTGTGTGGTTGATATGCAGTGTTGGAATACCTTATAGCTGGCCATGAGTTTATAATTCTTTTGAGTCTATGAGTATTATATTGAAAAACTTATATTCCATTTTTATTTATTTTTTCTCCCTTTTTTTTTTTTTTTTTTTTTTTTTTGTTTCAAAACGCTATTATACAGAACATGGCAGTTTTGCTCGTACTTCCTCTACCTACACCAACACAGCCTGTGCATAAGTGTATCTTTTCCACAAATGTCTTTTCACAGTTTTTCCCCAAGTGACCAGAAGTTTGCCACTGGCTCAGATGACGGCACTGTTAGAATATGGGACTTTTACCGCTGTTATGAAGAGAAAGTTCTCCGAGGTAAGGACATGAAGAACTCCTGTTTTTCCTATACCGTTTAGTTGTTTTTTCCCTCTCTTTCTCTCTCACTCAGTCTCTCTTTTTTAACTCCTGTTATTACCATTGTCACCATTATTATTGGGATTATTACATCTGCTATTATATTCTTCATCATCATTATCATCATCAATGTTGTTGCTATTAGTTTTTCCTATCATAGTAATTGTTGTTATTACTATTATTATTATTATTATTATTATTATTATTATTATTATTATTATTATTATTATTTTGTTATTATTATTATTATTTTTGTTATTATTATTATTATTATCATTATTAATATTATTCTTATTGTTATTATTATTGTTATTAATATTGTTGTTATTCTTATTCTTAATATTTTGTTATTATTATTATTGTTATTATTATTGTTGTTATTATTGTTATCATTATTATTATTATTATTGTCATCATCATCATCATTGCTATTGTTATTGTAATTGTTATTATGACTACTTTTGTTATTGTTATATTTATCATCATTATTATTATTGTTATTGTTATC